CCCTTCTTCTAACAGGTCAGTACAATCATCTAACCCTGCTCGATTGACGGAAGGACTCACCGTTCCATGTTTTCATCGGTTACAGTTGCACATCGTCTTAGGACTGTGATTGACTACGACAGGCTCATCGTTCTAGATAAAGGCGAGGTATGTCCTTGAGATCATTACTATTAAATGGTACCTGACGCTGTCACTAGATCGCCGAGTTCGACACCCCCTGGAACTTGATCAACAAGGAAGGAGGGATTTTCAGAAATATGTGCTTAAAGAGTGGATCCTTCGGAGAGCTGGAACTTGTGGCCAAAGAGAAAGCCGGCCTTTAGTTGATACCCATATACTGCTCGACACAATCTATATCTCAACTACTGACTTCAACGATCTGACCTGTATATAAGATACTGCGACTATCATTCATGATCCCATAACGTTGGTTAAAGGTTTCCGGAAAGTTGCAGGTTGCGAATTGATGACATCGAGGGTGAGGAAGACACCTCGAAAAAGGTGCAGCCAAGGTATTAAACACAAAATAAATACAACTGTACGATACAACATGATATCCGATAGCGAAAAGAGATTTCAAAGCAAAGTAATAAAAAAAACCTAAACACCAACCCTGCAGGACAATATTAGACAGTAAAGCTGAAGAGTTCGGAAAATTGTTGCATACCTGTGTACAACCTTTTTCTGCAGAGCGAAAACAACACAAATTGAGAGACGGGATCAAGAGTCATAAAAAAGATCACCAACCTGACCAGAGAAGCGGATGATCTCTCTCTTTTCCATAATGAACAATGTTCTCTCCAATGCATGACTGGAAAAGCCTTGCTGAGTGACAAACTCCTTAACAAGACTCTGATAACTTGTGCTCCAGCCAACTGGTAATCGTCTTCGCAGCTCACGTTCAATGATTGTCATTTCTTCGTTGAGGGCACTTCTTGACATGCCATCAGCTGAACCAGCTGCAACAGCATCCATCGTAGAGAATTTGAAAAGGCGAATGGCTTCCTCAACGTGATGGTTCTGCACAACAGGTGTAAGAGTCATCTTAGCCAGAGACTCAGATATACGAATGATAGCTTCAAGTTGGCTGGTGACGATCCACTACGTTAGTGAAATGCAACTCTGCAAGCTTGTAAATGGCTTACCGGACGGTGATGGGAATAGAACTCCTTTCATCACTGTCTTTCTCGACTTCCTGCACTTGCTTCCGCAGACTGACGAAATGACTGCTCAGCATTTCTTGTGATTCAGGGGACAATCGAGGTGCACATTTGCTAAAAGCCGTTCAATAAGCTGTTCGTATAAGCTACGACGCAAACATACCTCTTGCAATATGCAATGTAGGCTTTCATCTTGTCGAGATCGATTTCCCCAACGGCATCGCCATTTTCGTCATCATTGGCATTTTGTCGATTCATATGAATGTTCAAAACGTGTTTGGCAATGGTCTTCCGGGATTCGAGGCGGTAAGTGGTACGTGAAGTGAAGTGAAATATAAATACGCGCACCTTGTCTCTTGCTTCGTTATGCTCGTCCCTTACAATAAAGATCATATCGAAACGTGACAAGATAGTGGTTTGGAAATCGATGTTCTCTCCAGGACTACGACCTTCGTCATATCGACCAAAGACCGGGTTAGCAGCCGCCAAAACACTCGTTCTCGAGTTGAGTACTGTTGTGATACCAGCTTTTGCGATCGAAATGGTTTGCTGCTCCATCGCCTCGTGAATGGCAACCCTGTCTTCGTCTCGCATTTTATCAAACTCATCGATGCAGACAACACCTGTGTCAGCAAGCACCATAGCTCCCCCTTCCAGATAGAACTCGCGCTGCATCTCATTAATGAAAAATAGAGCAGATGATGCTGCCTGGACAACGTACCGAGACAGTATCTCTTTGGACAGATGCAGTTAAACCAGCTGCACTAGAACCTTTGCCTGAGGTGTAAACGGCTATCGGAGCGACCTGTCAAAGACAATTGTCTGCATTGCGGATCCTGCCCATCCGACCGACGCTCACCTTCTCGACGAACTTGAGCAGCTGACTCTTTGCGGTACCAGGGTCGCCAAGCAATAGTACGTTGATATCACCACGCAGACGCATGCCATCAGGCAGGACTTTCTTGGATCCTCCAAACAACAGGCACGCGATAGCTTTTTTTATATCTATAAAGTATATGTTAGATTGGTTGACCGATTGTTGGTGTCATGGCACATACCCAAGCTACCAAAAATACTGGGTGCAACGCTCTTAGCGAATCGTTCATAGAAATTTTCGCTTCTGGCCATCTCCCCGAATTCCTCTTCTTGCTGAGGAGTAAATTGTGCACCAAACGGATTTGATCCGCCTGCTCCAGCAGGACTCATCAACTCGAGATGAACAAGTCGAAGGTAAGGTTGTCGCAAAGCTGCTGCACCTCCTCCTTTCTGAGAATCATATCGATAATGAGAAATAAAAGTTTGAATAAGTAATACAAGGGACGTACGTTCTTTGCCGACTGGAATTGGGAATATATTCCAGACGCGATCACCCGAGATCCCGGCACAACCTTTCCAGTCAAATTTCGATCGGCACTCAGCAACATGTGTCGAGGCAACTCTCCGACTGGGACCATATCGGGAGCTTCTTGAAGCTTTAATGTTTGCTGATCAGCAAACGCTGATTTGGAATGAATAATGAGATATGGATCTAGGGGACAGTCCTTCTTTTGCCCTTCAGGTTCAGGTGCGTCACAAACACGGGGAAGACCTCTATCCGAGCCACTTCCTACACCTCCTAGTCCTCCTTGGGGGTAAATAATCTTGGTAGATCGACATCCTCGACATTGAAGGTGAAGCTTGGTCGCACGAGAGGAGAGAACGGAAGCCGAAATGACAATGCCCGGAATGCGCACTAGTTTATTCATGGTTGTTGCCGTAAGTTCTCGTACTTGGAGGAGGTTAAGGGCAGACTTCATGGTGATCTGAACCCTTGGAATGGCTTCTGCTGCAACCTCTGCAGCTTCGGTGACTATTGAGGACTCCTGCGTTGATGCAAGAGGGAAAAGGAGATTACGAGCAACCTTGGTTGCTGCATTTTCAAACTACAGAATATTAAACTAGAACTCCTTTGCCAAATTACACGAGAACATACCAAAGGTAAAACGTCCGCAGGGGTATCTTGAATCAAGTGGGCCAGTTCATCATTGAAGAGACCGACATCGCGAAGATCGACTTCGAGGACATGCTGCTTTAGTAAAATATTTGCACGTAGTTTATCTCTGAGGAATAACTCGTTAGAATTATATAAATTTAGGGGTATGTTGCGTACCTGTAAGTGTACTCTCCACTGCGATGGAAATATTGAATGAAATCGACCAGTAGCTTCTCAGTTTCTGAGGGTGTATCTGGAGATGTAGCAGTTGGTACATCGTGAACGGGGACAGAGTAAACACGATTAATATCAAAGCCAGACATGATGACTGGGGGTATCACGGTTTAAAGAGGAAGAAGGAAGATGCAAGTCCAATCAAGAATTCGCGTAAGAGTTTAGGGCAGGTCAACTCGCGTTTAAGCCACTTTTACTTGTTGTAACAATAATTTATGTAATCACAATGAATTCGTCTTCTTTCTTGATTCTTCCTAGTCATCCTGATAAAACATGTCGGGATGACTTAAGTGTTACAGACGAGGATAATCCTTCATGTTGGAATGTAATAAGTATTCTTATTAACAACTTTCAACAGTCAAAGTTCAGTATTCACAAACTTCCAGATTTAATACAGGACATCTCAAAAGCTCTCTTTGATCAGAGCGTCGATACAACATTCTTATCCAAGTTTCTGCAAACAAATTACCCTTCTACTTCTAAAGATACGGAAGATTTATTGAATAATATATTCGCCCACGCCCTCTTGCTTCCAGATTTTTTTCCTTCTCATACTTTGCCATATCTCACCTTCAACAACAATCATTTTACTTTCACCCATTCCCAAGTTAAATCTCTCCTCGCTCATCAATTATTAAACACATTAACGCCTCCAAAAAACAACAATTGGGGTAGCACTTTCACCGCTTGGTATTCCGCAAACCAACCACTGAAAGTCGCCATTGAGGGTTACCTGTCGACCTTGCTGACCTATTTCCTTCACCCATTCGAGGATTCACAACTCATTACCTACTCTTATATAACTATTCAACGACCAGACCGTCTGGACGAGCTAAAGTTTTGGACAAGCCAAGTCGAATATCCTTTGCGCCAGTCTTTAATTATTGAACCAATGACCAGTACTTCACTGGAATATCCTCATCCAGAAATATCCACTACTCTGGTCGCTTCGAATAGCTATCCTGGATTCGGTCCCGCGTGTACACAAGAAGAACTGGTTACAGGATCGTGTCCACCCCTGCTTCCTCTAGGTGCACTTCTCATATCTCCCCCCGTGCCTTCGGACGCCGCCATTGTTTGCACAGGCATCCTTCCTATATCCCGTTGGTCTGGTATTGGAAGGGAAGCGAAATGTCTGGGGGAAGACATCTCTGTTGACCACCGCACATTTTTGCTCTTAGATGCATCGGAGTTGGACGGCGTGGATACGTTGTCTAATCCGACGATCATCGACCTTGAACCCGACATTTTCTTTCGAGATTTGCACAAAGCCTATGTCGGGATGTTTGCTATCTCCAACCTAGGAATAAAGAATATCGCCTCTCCTCTTTGGGGTGCGGGTGCGTTTGGTGGGGACCCTATTATCAAAGTCATCGTGCTCTGCATGGCGGCGGCTCGAGCTGGACTTCAAATCCACGTTTCTGTTGACAGGAATAGGACGTACGAATCGCCATTCAATCCATTCATATCTACCACTTCCCATAACACTCTGTTATCTTTTCTGGAGAACCTGAAGGCCGATGGTCATGACTGGTCACTTGGAGACATTCTGAGGCTTGGTGGATTGGATGAGCGAAGCACAAGTAGAGAATGAGTTTAGATTGGACAATACACCCCAAAATAGGACAATAACGTCCTTCTTAGCTCAGTTGGTAGAGCGCGTCACTAGTACCATTGATTGTGTGTTATGACGAGGTCAGTCGTTCGAGTCGGCTAGAAGGAATATATTTTTAGTGGACGCGCTTTACGTGGGAAATGATAAATGAGATAGTCGTCAGTCATCATCAATCGTTCTTGTTCTTGTTCTTCACTATCACTTACCTTTTCTTTCTTCGGCCTTCTGGTCTATCACAGAGATCTACTTTTTAATATGAGCGCAATGGACACTGATGAACTGTCCGTAGTACTGCCCTCGACCACGATGTCGGGACTGTCTTTGTCATTGTAAGCTTCGCTCATCTTTTCTATCACTCAGTACTTGTAACCACATTTGAAAGACATCCCCTACCAATCTTAAATATCTCGGAACACTTGACACGTTTGAAGTTGCAGAAGAACACGCCAAATCCTTTTGGTGAATACTACCCGTTCATCCGTTGATCTATGCATTGATCTTTGAGTCATGAACAGTCCTCGGTGCTCTCCTTGGGACTCAAAATGGGCGCGAGGTAGAAATTGTAAATACTTTTGAGCTGGCCACTATCGGAGAAGGCCAGGAAAAGATCGACGAGGAATTCTTTCAATCTCGACGGGAGCAATGTACGCGTCCACCTTACCTAGGCCGCCTTCGTTTGACTGATCTACCAGTGAACAGATAAACAGGTCTTTCCATCACTCGAGTTTATAGGATGGTACACCGTAACTACGAAACCAACGCAGAGGCATATCGCGCTGCATGAGCAGGTATGCATTCGACCCACATACGCACCTCCGTTTAATCAAACCTGTCATTCAGTTTACTGCATTCTGCTCGACCCCACTGCTGCTGATTCTTCAACCTAGCCTTGCAATGGTGGCTAGTGCAGATACCAACGCACAAACTCTCCCACTCAAAGCTTATGAGCCTACTATTGAGCTTAGGGACAGAAAATCCCGTTCAGTGTATATCGAAGTGCCATATAACGTGGAAACAGGTGAGGCGGAGCGAATTGCCGTCGACTGGACCGCGAAGGGTGGAGGAAGTGGCACAAGCCGTACGTCGCGTTATTCTATACTGAATTGAAGAGTGTCTCATTTGACATTTGAACCAGTCGAGTCGCACCTCCAGTCCCAGAGATCTGCAGTCAAGATGTTACACGAACGTATTCTAGTTCTCATCAAGTACTTGACAGAGGTTGTTGCCGGTAGGGTTTCATCCAATTGCGATCCTGATGATACACCTAACAACAACACTAGGACAAGCTCGTCCGGACCACGCCACTTTGCGATCTCTTGCTGCATTAGTCGCCTCCCTTCCGGCTTCAGAAAACAAGCATTTCCGTGAAGAATTCGAAACAGTACGAGATTTGCCAATGTCGCAAACAGTCATCTTACCCGTTTCTAGGAATACGAAGATGTACAGCTCACCGCCTTCCTATCATCTCTCACCAAATCAACTAATATCCTCAACGATGTTCGTATATTTCATTTGTTGGTTTGCTATCTAATTAGACTGAAAATTGTCTCCTAGCTCGTCGACAAGCACCTACTTCTTACATCTGGCCGAGACAACAACCCACGACGACGCATGGGGGGAAGGCAGGGAGCGCCTACGGATTGGGACCGTTTCCATTAAACGCCTCTTGTATCATGCCTAATTGTACTATATTTCATCCGCACCTACCCTGGGATATGACCATTATCGCTGGTCATCCACGCACGTAATAAAATTTCCATTATATCCGATAAATACAAATCGAAAGCGTATTGTACAGGGGACTATAGACGCTATGATGTGCGATTATAACAATACAAGTGAGGGTATGGCAATTGCAACAGTCGAGGAAAAATAATTATGAGATGGATGCAAATATTAAGAAATATATCAGCATGTCAAATATATCGTTAGCAGATCGCACGTAAAAAGTAATCGTGATCCCGGAGTGTGGGACGTGAAGTCGTGGGCGAAGATATGGGTCAGTTGGCGTCCCGACCAGCAGCTGGAATTCTCTATCAATGGGCAGAACTTCTTTTCAATTCAATGTGCGTACCTGCAGCCAGCGACCGAGTAGAGCTTTGCGAGAGTAAACCTTTACTCGCACTGGAAAACATGCCTCCAAGCATTCCTTTGTCTTTGGATTTGCGTTCACTCCCAGGCGTTTCGGGGTCGACGCCACCTCGGGATGAAGGTCGTTTTACGTTGCTCTTAATCTTACTCCACAATCCCTGCTGAGTTGGAGTGCCTGAGGATGTCGAAGGTCGTTTGGGAGTGCGAGGTCCTGGGGTCTTGGTCGGTGGTTGCTGGCTTAACTGAGCCCTGGAAGCTACAGGGGTGGATTCAAGGGTTTCTCGTTGCACGGTCGTGGGATTTGGGGTGGTCGCGTGTTTGTACGTTTGTTTAGGCAAGGTTGGAACAACTTTGGAACGAACAGCTATTTCTGATGTCTCGGCATAGGAGGAAGGTGCTGTATCTGGAGATGACCCTTGACTGGTGGTGACATTGGCACTGAGCAAACTATCCGAGTCTGAGGTGGCGGGCGATGATGAAGGGGCCATGTCGATTTCGTCGCTTTCCATTACTGGACCCACGTCATGATTTGCTGCCCAGGACATATTACGATGAAGTTGGGGGGAAAGGAAAGTAGATGCTTCAGGACTGAGGTCCATGTGTTGTCCTTCAGCTGCTACAAGGTCTTCAAGGATACGTCGACGATAGACACTAGTCATAGGAGAATTGATGGTGGTCGCAAAGTCCCAGGAGTCCACAGAATTAGCAGATGCTACATGGTTTAATGAACGTCTTTCTTGTCGTTGTGTTAGAGGTGGGAGACCCTCTGCAAGCGCCCGTCAGCAGATTTTCGCGCTGTCAGACATAGCCGAGACGCACTAAGAATAGTATTGATGAGGTAAGACTTCTTCTTCGCCCCTTTGAAGAAAGGTGTCTGCAATAGGTCTGCAGCAGTTGGCCTAAAGAATAATTTAAAAGGTGTTCAAGACATTATAAAAGCTTGCTTTACCTTTTGGAAGGATCCTTGGCCAAGCAGCTGTCAACGATATCCTTGAAGGCTTTGGAATACTTAAAAGCGCCGCCATCACGGTCAAGGGTTGGTGGGTCTTCTTGAATGCTATAGGATGTCAGTTAAACTACAGGCAAACCATAACTGGACATCAAAGGATCTCACGTTTTGAGCAAAACTTTCTGGGGTGACTCTCGAGACCGTGGTGGTCGGCCTTGCGTCAGCTCTAGAGCGGTGATACCAAAACTCCATATGTCAGCTGAGGAATCGTACTGCCGTCCTTGAATGAGTTCGGGGGCCATCCAGCATGGCTAGACGAACGGTGAATGTTGACTCTCGCTGCTCAGAACAGTAAACAGTTACCGTGCCAACGAATGACTTGCGTTTACCAATTCTTGGTCTGGAAAGAACCATGGGTTCTTCTTGGGGTGCTGCGCGCTTGGTGCTGTTGCTACCTATTGATGCGGGTGAAGACCGCGAGGCTGCCATCGCACCGGCAGCGGTGATGGAGAAGGCTCTCGGGTGATGCGCCGCATTGATGTGGGATGTGTCTTCTGCCAGGTCCGCCGCTACGCCGAGGTCCCCCAATAAAACGGTGCCATCATCGTCGATGAGCAAGTTGGCAGCTTTCACATCGCGGTGAATGAACCCGTTAATGTGAAGGTAACTGTGAATAATGAAACAATAAACTCCGGTCAGTGTTTCTGCGTTCTTGGGAAAAAATGATGTCGACAGACGGCGGTCAAAGACCACAAACCCGGAGGAATGTATCGTCAACAGGAATCACGTACTTGAGTCCTTTGAGTGTCTGCCTCAACATGCATCGAACGACATCCTCCTCCAAACCACCCGGCCAACCGTAACGCATGACGTCGGCAGCACTTCCCTTATTCATCAATCGGAGCGCAATATACAATTTATGGCCGTTCATCCATGAACCACGGACTCGGAGGACATTGGGGTGCTTTGATAAGGACATGAGTGTGGTCTCCCTTTGTAGTAACTGCAAAGAGCGGGGTGGTAGTTTGTCGAGATCGAGAACTTTGAGGGCGCATGGTATAGGTTCGAGAGCGACGGAGCTGGTTGAATCGGTGTCGCGGGGGAGGTATGTCGCGGCATATACAATTGAAGATGCACCAAAACCAATGGGGTCACCAATTGTATAGTCTTCGGCGTTGTCACTGTTGGAGGGTTGCATTAGGGATTCGGAACATGAAAATAGTTTGTGGGGTATTCATACCTGAAAAGTTGCCATTCGTCTTCCACTGCACCGATAAACTTCTTGGATGAGTTTAGCATGGTGTCCTGTGTTAAAGTTTGGGTGGGAGTGGATGTAGGATAAGAAGAGGTGGTGGCCCTAGCACTCGGATGAGTGTCTGGGGCCATATTTGCAGTTGTATTTGCTCTCATTGTATGTTTGAGGGAATGCAATTCAGGGAAGAGGCCTGTGCTGCTTGGTATTTTTGACGAAGATCATGCACTTCCCAGCAACCGAGTGGCAAATTGTGGCAATATAGGATTTATGCCTGGATGCGGATATGGGCAAGATAACGACGGAGGTGGCTGCCACACTCCAATGGGGGTCACTCTGAGAAGGATGTCACTAGAGATGGAAAACAAATAGGGTCTGATGAAAGGCAAAAGTTAACTGAAATGAACTGCAATGAAAAGTCCAACTGGTTCACGCACAAATTAAATTGGACAGAAGTTTAGCTGAGTAGCTGGAGATGATCGTTGGAAGAGTATCTGTTGTTTGGTCAGACAAATGAAACGAGAGATAACAATAGTGCAAACATGATGACAAAAGATAATTATAGGAGATATTTTGTTCAGAGCTGAGACCGCTCCGTCGAACGTTCGAGGATGGACTGGAGGGGGAGTTGCAGGGTTGGAGGAGTCGTTGATATGAGCTGCTTGGCCTGGAGACAAATCAATATAAAGCCTATGTAATCTCTTGGCGACAAACCAATTAGGAATCCTCCATCACTTTGAGAGATCATCGTCATCTTTGCCTTTTGTTCCCTCCTTCGTCTCTCTGCCGTGTAGACTGCACCATGAAAAGTATGAG